CCCCCCCCCCCCCCTCTATTCAAAAACACTCGATCTCTGATGACTTTCATGCAGCCTTTTGGAGGTCCGGCCCAACGATTTCCTACATCGGCCCTCGGAGCAGCACAGGTTCCCAGAGCAGAGGCTGGCTTAAAGCTATGAAGAGAGATCCTGCTGTAACCGGCTGATGAACGGAGAGGCACACCGGAGCTGTCGCAGCAGTGGTTGACCACCGTTTGAATCCTGCGTCCGTCAGCTCAGGCAGTGTTAATGATCACTTGAGTGTCTTTGACGTTAGCCCCCTGAAAAAGAAGATGCATGACGAGAGAGAGTCCGGGAAACTGATTTTGTCCGATGATCGTGAAGTTATTCGGCCCCTCTCCCCTTCCAGGGAAACCTCAGTCCTTCCTTTGGAAGAAGGATGTAGAGCGGGCACCTGTATCCATTTCCAATCCAAACAGAGTGAAACCATGCTAATAGTTTAAATTAAAAACGGGTATTCCAAGTTGCTTATTTGATGTAAAAGAATTAGGGGAGCTTGTTCACGTGCACTTTGAAATAGCTTCAGAGGTCCATTTTGCTTCATTAAAACAATGTTCCAGCACACAAAGCCAAGCACCAGCTAGACAGCAAACCCTGGCAAACATCAACATGGACAGTCTTGACGAACAAAAGATATTCACTGGAAAAAAAAAAAAAGAAAAAAAAAAAGATGTTGGTACTATGTAACTGTTGAAAGCTTAATGATTGAGCAAAGAGAGAGAGAGGGGGAAAAGATGTACATCCATAAGCTTGGAATGAACAGACAGGACACCAACTAGTGATCATTATTGAGCTGCTGGGTTGCCCTGAGAGGCTGCCGGAGAGTTAAAGGTGTTCAGACTCATTTGTGTGTTTATCCAACATGAGATTTAGCCAACTGGAATGCTTAACTCGATTTTCTCTGGGAATGTTCATGGCCTTCGCTGTCATATCACATTTGCTCGTCTCACCAGTGAGTTTGGTAGGATAAAAGCTACTTTTTAATGCGCGTTTGATCTGTGAGGTTCGCTCCCAATCAATGCCGGTTGATAATAAATTAGCGGAACGTGAATTTGCTTGGTGATAAAAGGAGGACAAAAAGGGGGTCGGACTGGTCACAAACCCGACAGTCAAATTCAGAACGACTCAAAGCAACTCAGTAAATTGATCAGATTTGGTGCCTCCGTCCGTTCAAGTTAAACACAACATAAAAGGTTCATCTCCTACTTGCATATAGCATTATATCTCCAGAGCATCGTCCCATCGAAAACTTAATTCTCTTAGTATTTTACCTACATTAGATACTATGTACAGACTCACAAAGTGGTATTTACAAAGTTTGTCCACAAGGGGGTGATCCAGGCCTGCATGAGGGGTGAGCATGCACCATGTCAACAGAAATGTGATATGATATGTAGTGATATAGTAGTGATAAACCTTGCTTATGTGGCTGGTGTTAAAAGTGATATCAATGTGAAAAAAAACAGGAGGAATTTATTCGTGTAAATTAAGTTTAAAAATATTCTTTCGTGATTTTTTTTCTCTCTGCCCTGCTTTAAGAGCATCTTAAGGATTTCCTTCCAAAAACAAGACATCTTTACAATTATACTCTGCTGCCATCTTTAGAAGATTAACTTTTCCCTGAAAGAAATAAACCCTACGGTTAAGGCTGATATTTATCAATAGATTTTTTTTATTTGTTTCTTTTTTCTATCAAAGATGAATCTGTATTTAAAAATGTATTTACGATCTCTTCTTATTTGTATGATCACATGAAGCTTGTTAAATCTTTTATCTCTTAGCTTCCTTATGCTGTCATTCATTATGATTACAAATCACAGTGATGCCTAGAGCTTTAAAAACAATCTCTGTCTCCTGATTGTAAGCTTACGCCACACACACCATAAAAAGTACACAATATCATCAGACAAACTATCCCTGAGGCAACAGCTGGCAGCTGGTTTCTATCCAACTATCTAGCTCTGTCTTAGCAGCAATCTAACCAGCCGAAAAAAAAAAAAAAAAAAAAAAAAAACGTTTCTGGATGATCATCGTCCACAAACATGACGTTCTGTTCGAGTTTGTCAGTTTACAAACTTCACAGGTCCAAAATGAGTAAGTCCAACAGAGATGTGCTTCGTTGCACTATGCCATCAGTCAGAACCCGTGCGTTCACCCCCTTGTGGTCCACCAATACTCTCACACACTGTACATATATAGCAAAAATAGATAAGACTCCTCGTTTATGTCTCAGTGCGTGTGCATTCCTCATGAAAGCTGACGCACACCTAACTGAGGAGGGGCCTTAAGTTCCTCTACATTATTCAACACTCTCAGAAGTATTTGTTTCTATAAACGGTACCAGTCAAACGCTTGGACACGCCTTTTCCGTTCATTTTTAATAAGTGGGAATGTCCAAACGGCTGACTGGTGCCATATTCAAACATACATCAGCTTATACTATTATTTTTAATTAGAATATAGAATTATACATACATTCTTGTTATACTAAATTCCCTTTGCTAACTGGGAATTACAGCCATCACCTCCATTTCATCCTCCTCCTTTCCTTGTTGCTCCAAAGTGCACCTCGTCCCCCACCATCGCCACTCCGTCTTCACTTCATTAGACTACGACTTCTTCTCGCACGTACAGATTCACAGGGCAGGAGCACGCACCAGATAACACACCCACTCGACTCCCAACACAGACGAATATTTTCAAACCCATAAACCAAGCATTTTTTTGTCATTTGCTGAGAGCTTCCCCATGGCCTCTGATGTACTAATATATTTGGATGCCTTTGCTGTTAAACCGTAAACCGACAATAGTTTATAGCTATCTACACCTAGTTTATTAGCCAGCGTGTGTAGCTGATGTAAATCTGTGCATTTCTTCCTGTCATGGCCATGTTGTGAACATGGAGAAATGTGATGAGGGTGATGGTGAGAGGGACGCGAGGCTCACATCCGTCAAGCTGTCTTCACTTTAAGAAAGAACTCTGTGGAGGGTAGCTTCCAGGGGGAGAAGGTGGCGAACATTATTCTTTAAAGTTTGGATTTTGAGGAGGATGAGGATGTCAGACTCAGGATATCTGCATGTGAAATTAATGCAATGCAGCGTTTTTTGCCTGAAGTCAGAAAAAAAACGTGGTGATCCGAGAGCTGCAGACACCTACTGCAGATTTCTTTCTTGTAACTGTGAATCCGGAGGTCCAGTTGTGATTACGGTCAGAAGTTTAGCCGCTTGAGGTAAGAGGAGGGAGGGGGAGGTGAAGATCTACGCAGGCGGTTATCCATCTTTCTCCTACAGGTCCGGGATTTATGAAGTCTGCAGTTTTCTTCCATGAAAAGGCAGCGAGTGTTGGTTAATTGCCTGATGTGTGTGTGTGTGTGTGCGTGCGTGTGTGTGTGTATATGCACGCGTGCCTCCTCCTCCGCTATGACACCTCGCTGCCAAACACTTCCAGCACCAGCGGGGTGAGCTGCATGCTGTGCTCCGGCTGGAAGGACAGCGAGCGGTACTGCTTGGAGTGCTCCTCGTTCAGGCTCCGCAGGTCGGCCAGCTTCTGGATCATCTTGGCGTAAAGGAGGCGTCCTCCCGGGTGGTTGACTCGGATGTAGGCCTGCAAGGCCTCGGACAGGCGGTCCTGGAGCAGCTCGATGCGGGCGTGGTCCTGGACGCCGGGGCGATCTGCAATGGGAGAACCAGGAGGGTGGAGGGGAGGGAGCCGGGAGAGGGACGAGTATGGGAAGGGACAGGGGAGCAGAGGAGGAAGAAATTTAGGTGGGGAGGTGGGTGGATTGAAAAAAAAAAAAAAAAGAGAAAACAACAATCTTTTTCTCAAAATTGTAAAAAAATGTAATATTATAAAAAAAACACTCTTTTTTTTTTTTTTTTTTTTTTTACAAGAAAAAGATGTTTCCTCACTTAAGAAAAAAAACTAAAACAGCATCGTTAAAGCTTAGAGGTTTAGAAAGTATCACTTCAAACCCACTGAGAATATTTGCACTTAGCACGGTGATCCAACCCTCCCACAAGATCTGTTACAAAAATGAATGCAGCGCTGTGTGAAAGCAAGTCTATCCACTCAAAAGAGGGAGAAGTGTATGAAAATGAGTGTTTCATACACTGTGGTTGGGCCTAAATAAGGAAACACATTGATGGATGGAGCATCTTAAGCGCGCGCAGCAATGCTGCCACTTTTAAGAATACTTTTCCAGCTATTTGTTTCGGAGATGAAAAACTCGTTATGATCACAGCACGTCTCCGTTTACATTTTTTCTGCTCGTTTCACACAGAAAAAACACAACATTTTCCAGGGAGGGCTTGTTCGTGTGTAAGTGGCAGCATCATCTGCCACATCTGTATGAAACTAGGTCAGAACGTAACTCAACACCCTGCTTTGGCGCCGAGATGTTAATATCCAGTAAAGCGGCGCAAACTCATCTGCATTCTCGGTTTTCACAACACGCTAAAGGGCACGAAGCCCGGCAGTACCTGGAGACAGCAGGCAGATGGCCATGAGCAGCACGTGTTCCTCCTCGTGTAGGTTGAGTTTCTTCAGACCGACTTGGAACTTCACCAGTGGCTCCAGCAGCTCCAGGGTGTGACCCGCTGCCGAGGACGACACAAACACGCTCTCAGTGCCACGGAGCCACTTACAGTTTATGACACTAATGTCGGAAAATATATATTGTGGGTGTCTGCGGAGTTATGAATAAAAACACAGTTTTAGGAGCAGAATCATTGCTCTCTGTGTGCGTGTTTATGCACTGTGGACAGAGGGCATTACTTCTGGCCCCGCATCTAAAAGTGAACAAGCCCGGTGTGTGTTTGCGGCTGCTTTGCTGTGTCCATGAAAATACCTGAAGTGAAAGCTCACAGTAAAGTGGACGAGTGCGTAGAAAAGCTGCATGTGTGTCGGCTTTGTGCCGCGCCGTTACATAACGGCAGGAGGAAATGAAATGACATTTGTGTCAGTGACTTAAACGCGGCAGGATTTTTCTGGACTTGTTTGCACTTCTGCGCAGAGCGAATTAATCAGTGAGGAGTCTGATGCTGTGAATAAGACTGAAATATATTTATCCTTTATTTTCTTTCTTTTTTTTTCTATTCATTCTAATTGTTCCTGCGGCACTTTTTCTGCATTGAAATATAATTTTGATGTGAATCTAAATCTGAGGTTTGAGTTATTTCTATGTGTTGAAAGTTAGAAGTGGGAGTAAATACAGCAAAAAAAATGCTGACATGAAACCACCAGCTGATTAAGTCCACTCTGGTGGGTCTGCACTAAAAAAAGACATCCAACCAACCCTTCGTGACGTCATTGATGCAGTATTTGAAGTCGGGTCCCCCGCAGCTCCAGGACATGTCCTCCAGGCTGAACGACTGGTTGGAGCGCAGCATGATGATCTCTATGGCGCTCGACTTCAACAGAGCAATCTGGTCTTCTGCTGTCAGCTCTCTGAAAAACAAACAGTGTTATCGTCTAAATGCATCTAAAGGCACTCCAAGGGTCTCAGAAACATCATATCTGCCTTTATCCTTATTTTCTTTAATAGGAATGACAAATTCATTGTACTTTTTTTGTACGATTGATGCACAACTACATCACCTCCATAACTCGGAGCAAAGACATTACAGTTTCTAACTGCAAATGCCTCCGCTGACTATTTCATGGTTCCTCTGATGATGTACGTCTAACATGAGATGATGCATCGTGCACGTCCTCGTGGGGGGCATGTCATCTCCATTATTTTCTCTCCATTTATTGTCCCCGAGTGCAGACATTTCTAGTGCCACCTCTCAGCTCAGCGTGCGTTTATAAAGCTTCTGGCTGTTCCAGTGCATTCTTGGAAGTGCTTGTTTTTTTTCCCCATCTCACCCATTAATGTCCTGCGCTCATGAAGGCAGAAAATAATTGTGTACTGTGTCTACCTGCTACCGGTTAGATGCGGCAGGTTACCAGTTGGTAAGATGCAACCACAGCCCGAGAAGACAAAGCACAAGCGCATGCTGTTCAACACTGTTCAACATGGGCTTTTCTTTTTGATTATGAGCTCAGAAAATGAATCCCTCCTCACAGTAGCTGCAGATTTATTCATCCTCCCCGTCGCCTAAAAGCTTGAGCTTAAAGTTCAATTTGATCATCTCTGATGCATCCTGACAAACAACAGTGGAGCTCTCACGGTGGGCTTACTACAGCCATCGCAACCCACCACAATGCTCTTCATACCTGAAGCCTGGGATCATCTTAGCAAAGCCGATGACTTTCTGGATGCTGTAAGACACCAGGTCAGCCAGGTGGGGCAGCATGGAGAGCTTAGTGTCCTCCTCGCTGGAGTCCGGGCTGCTTGCGCCATCCTGGTACATCATCAACAGGTTGCTGAAGTTCATCTTGGTGTCGACCGACTCTGATTGAGGGAGAGATTGGAGACGAGATGTGTGAGGGAGGTGGAAATGAAATGGGTATGGGGTCGCGACAGATCCTGATTAAACCGATAAACTGATGACGGAAATGGCAAGGTGCCAGTCAGAGGGTTGTTAGAACACAACACAAAGCAGTTCCAAAATCATTAAAATATATATATATATATAAGAAATACAAAAAAGCCCTACAGTTTAGATCAGGAGTCTTATGAGAAATTCAGGTAAAAAATTAAACCAACACCAAAGATTCAGATGTCCAACAGAAGTTGTCCATCACCACATTTCTCATAATAGTGATACAGAACAGGGCTTACTGATAAAAACATCCAAACCTTGGCAATTATCTTTTTTTAAATCAATTAAAATGTCTTTTTCTTTTATATTAGACAGATTTTGCTTCATAAATTGCACATTCACATCAATACTGGAGTAATAATGTAGTTATCCCTGTGTCCTTGTTACATTCAACCTATAACCATGAGTTAGTACAGAAGAAGAAGATCTCATTCATCTCACCGGGAGAGTGGTTGAATGAATCGGAGGAGGCGTCAGACAAAGAGTGAAGAGAGGCAGCTCTGCTGGCACTGCGTGTTACTGGACCTTCACGCACTGGAGGCTGCGGACACAGAAAAAACATTGGTGCCCGTATGAGTATAAGAATAACAGGCGTTCACATAATACCATGTCCTCACCACACGCCAGTGGCCCCGTCCACATGAGTAGGGGTCCTGGAAGCGCTTTTCTATTTTCCAGCTAAATCTGAGATCCTAGTTCTCGAGTGTTTGGAAGCTTGGGCACATGATTGATAGAGTGTGCTGAAAATATGTTGCAGTGAGCAGGTTATATGAGTGTAGTGCGAGGTCTGCCAGGAGCTCCCAAGCTTTGCTGCAACTCTGTAAAGCCAGTGAGTGTTGGCTTTTCCTTTTGTTTATTTAGATAATGACGAATATGAGATATGAAAAATTATGTTTGCATTGTGGCAGCTCATTGGCAGGGTTCTATTCTATACTTTTATACAGATGTTCAAGACTACTTTTCAACCATTCTTCAGTTTCGATACAGATTGATACCAATGGCATCTATCGTTGTTGTCATTTATTTTGTTCGTCTTTTTAGGGATTTGGCTTGAAAAGTTACTGCATTATTGAGGTTTGATTGATGCAAAACAGAATGAGGTGATTGGACCAGTTTTAACAGCGGTTACAGGTCTGCACTTACCCGAAAGCGTGAGAAGTCGGAGTAGGAGGCATCGTAGGTCTTGTGATGAGCTTCGACCAGGGAGGAGATCATCCGGGCCTGCTCCTCGTTCAGCCGCGGCCTCATGGCTTCGCGGGCTGCCTCCTCCTCCTTCCTCTTTAGGATCATTTCCTTTTTCCTTTGAACCTCCTCATCTGTCAGTATGACTGTAAGAAGAAAATGAGGGATGGACTCAGTGTTTCACAAAAACAAATCCCCAGTACAGGCATATTCAGTTACCCATTCCCAAAGCAGCCCGAGCAAAAGGGAAGCACTGAAGTGTTTGCCTAAATGGTTAAGCAGAAAAAAGACTGAACACAGTATCAGGCAACTTTTGACTATTAGCAACCATCAAGGAAAGCAAAAAATAAAAACGAATTCATCATTGTGACGGGGGCGCAGCTACTGTTTTGTTCTGGTCCATCACATTTAGAACTAAAACTTATACACTAATAAATCTATGATGTTTTCAGACATCTCTGTACTTCAACCAAAAATGTATTTAAATGACGAAAAACCTAAAAGCTGTCAGAGGGCAAAGGCTGCTGTACTCTGTCATTTATGGCAATGGGGGGGGGGGGGTTCTCTTGGTACTTTGTGCCAATCAAATTTGTCCTAAGAGTCCAGGTTGGCAGCTCACCTCTGCGCCCGTTATAGTTTGTGCTGGTCCAGATTCTCAAACAGGTCAACTTCTTCCTAATAGCTTGACAAAGGGCAACTGAAATTCTTTTTCCCAGCGTTTGAGCACATTTAGTCTCTGAAGGCTTTCTGAAAGACGAGACGTGTAAGCTGAGGAGAGAGGGAAAGTCCAAGGTATGCTCGATGTTGGTGGTTGGGGCTTGCTCTTTAGCGAGCACTAGCTGAGACGGGTGGCTCATTTGTTAGAACTTACAGCTCTTTGCTTGTACCCTGAAACAGGGCCAGGCTGTACTTTCACTCTCCTTCGTTTTAAGATGCTGCACCCAGTGTTCAATTCAAACTGCCATTGTAGACGGCTCAGGGCAGGTTTTTATGGGGGTGTATGGCAGCTATAAGCTGATAGTTGATGTTACTTATGTTTAGCGCACTAAAAACCTTTGTAATGTATTACTTCACATCTCATCAAAACAAATTGTTTGTTACATTTGTTACAAAATGTTTGAGACACATTCGAGACCCTAGCTTTGAACTTTTTCCTGAGAATTTACTGTGGAAAACCTGCACTTAAAATATCTGGAAAGTAAGGTTTTATTCTACGATAAAAGAAAACAACAAAAAAATGACCCATTTCGGTGTTATCTTTTACCCATTGTAGAAAAACGCAGGTGAAAACACTGTGAGAAAGTCTGCTATGACCATCTGAGATCTGAGGGGCTCCATGTACTGTATGTTCTGACCCCTGAATACTTTGGCCTATATTAATCCCTTGACTCTTTGCCACAGTAAACGATTATCCATGAGGTGCTCAACTATGCAGAAAGACAGACAGCCGGCATGACTGCCAGACGGACTTGGACTGCCAAGAAGAGACCGTCTGGTATGGCCCAAACTCAGACCGCTGGGGTTACCAAAGAATTAAGTAAACAACAAAAAAAAAAAAGATTTGGTGACAAATCCGACATTCTGGCAGCTGTAGACAAACATCCTCACATAATAGGTTTCAAGTGACAAACTGAGGGACAAGCGGCCCGTTGACTCGAATCATAGCATCATGTAAACACGGGAAAGACAGAGTCCACAGCAGGTCTGCGTCGGGCGGCCTCAGACTCGATTCCCCTCCCCGTGCACGTAGGCTGGGACGAGCCAGTCGTCCATTAGAAGCTGTAGCCTGGATGTCTCAAAAAAAGAAAAAAATTGAAAAAAAAGAAAAAAAGACAAGTAGGCTACTAAGTGGCTGTTTGTAATAATTACAGCAACTCCACCAGCAGCGGACGCCTGGAGACGACAAACAACTGTATCTGGAGAGGATGAACTACTGAAGTGATGTTACATAAGCATAATATGGGATTCTGCAGGCAACAACAACTGCAGGCTTTAAAAGGCAGCTGAATAAATTTCTTGTTGGCTAACCAGGATCTGGCATTCATTTTTTATTCGAACCCAATGTCATTAATTAGGCTTTGGCTGAACTCCAGCGTCCATCTAGGCCCGAGCCAGAAAAAGACTGTTGAGAGCCACTCCTTGTGATGAGGACATCCAAACATGCAGGGTATAATCATGAATAGGCAGAGTTTGGTCAAAGTTTGGCACAAGCCGTCAAAGCAGCCATTCCAAGGCGGATTGAATGCGTTCGCTTTCAGCCAAGTCTGAGCACTGGATGGCATCAGTGAGGAAGAGGTCTGGAAAAAGAGGGGGAAAAAAGGCCATCAAAGGAACATCTTGACCACCCTGCAGCATTTGGCAGACGGGCCAGAAGACTGATTGGATGTGATGCGGTGACTGGCATGGCACAGAGGAACCAGGAGAGAAAGAAAGAAAGAAAGAAAAAGTAAAAAAGGCAAACACTTAGTTGGAATTAATTATACAAAATAACAAAACGTGGCTTTGGTCAACACACCTACTGCCAGAGGCTGGCACAGTGGGGAAACACAGAGCCCCCTGAGGACCGGCCCGTTAGGCACAATGGAGACTCCGGTTAGGTGTGATGTATGTCGAGCAACATCGAGCGTGCGCCAGCATTTTCTCACTAATGCCCGAAGCATGCGATTGAAGCGGGTAGAATTCAGGTCAGTCAGGCCTCCAGGCACCTACACATCCCGAGTGTGACGCAGAAACCGCTTATCGAAAGATCAGAATGGAGCACATATAGTCACAGGAAGCAGTGGGAAATAACAGACTGTACTCAATCTACTAACAACGTAAAAAAAAAAAAAGAGAACAAAGTGCTCTTGTTTGTGTGGGCTTTAATCTAACCACTCGTGTGCCTGTGTTTGTCATCTACGAGCACATCAGGATTCCCCGTCTGCATTGAATCCGAGGATTAAGACACTCATAAAACAGATATGCTGCATTACGAGTGGATGGAGCGACACCAGGAGACCGTGCCTTTGAATTTTGACCCATACTGTAAAACATTTTCAAAGATTTTTTTCAATGAATCTACAGCTGGTAATACGCAGGAAAGGTTGTCAGGGTGACAAAGTAAAAAGGCTCCTCGGGATGAAGAATTAAGGAGCCACTTCAAGGACTTTGCTTCAGAAAGAAACAGCGTGAGCATTCAATCATCCAAGAGCTAAAACGTTTCAAAAACTCTCCTGTGATTCTAATCCTGTTACAAATAAACCCCCGCTCAGTCATACAGAGCAACACAAAGATCACAAGCATGAAAACACACACACACACACACACACACACAAACACGGAGGTCTTTTCCAGGCACCTCTCTAACCTGTTAAAAAAAAAGGGGGGGAAAAAGGCAGAGTGTTTACAACAAGCTCAGCTGGCAAAGCTCACAGAGGGCGCAGATCAGATTATCTGAATAGTGACCTGGCTTAACTAAAACTAATAAAGCAAAAAATAATAATAATAGAAAACGGAAATAAAAAACTCAAAGCTAGAAGCTAAAATGTGCATCTATTTGGCCAAAGACAAAATAATACATAATAGTCTATTCAACTCCTCCAAGAATCAAGAAATATGAACCTGATCAAGATTTGGAGGAGGAAATCACTCAAACAAAAGCATCCTTCTATCTAGAAAACCGCAGTGTGTTCTTTTGTGTGGAGCCGCCTCACAGGGATGATACGTGCACCCACTCTGCGGTACGCATCTGCACTGAGCCTGTTCTCGATACGTTTTACAGCGGGTTTATTTCTGGGTCAAAGCTGCAAACCTAGAAAACAGGACCTAGTACAGACACATTTACATGCCGAATACAAGCCAGCATATGGTAATTTTACCACAGTCATCGTATAGACTGAGATGCTGGAAGGGTCAGGGGGAAAATACAACAGCTAAAGGACCAAGAATATGCCTCTCCTCTGGATTGGAGCTGCCTCGTGTACCATCTAATAAACAAAGAACTGTTTCTTTCCATCTTGAGCGACCTTCCCTTTAATTCATTTTCCGATTACAAATAGAGATTCCATGGTGGTGAGGTCACAAGGACACATGATAACATCGTCAATAAAAGGACATTTCGACTCTCTTGAACCTCTTCTGGACAAAGAGACCAATTAGACCAGCTATCCTCACTGACCATTTCCCATTTCTCCTCTCATTCAGCAATGCGTATACGGGCCCTTCTTGACAGACCGATGACTATTGCTTTCCATTAGTTACAATCATCTGAAAGAGCTTTGCTATTCCTGTCCAATTGTAATGAATTCTTTCCTATGAATCTGAAGTTTCCTTCAAACAGTTCTGATGTAGTCAGGGTTTAGGAAGAGACAACGTTTTGGTCATTTCCTATACGTGTCAGCTTCTCATCACTCCATTTTCTGATGCATTAAATGCATCATTTTAAAAGGTTGAACTAAAATGATGCATTTGAAGTTCAACCTTTAAAGAACAGGTTTACAATTCCTCAAATGATTCTGAAGGTGGAGAAAATTCCATCTGGAAATAAAATATGCTGTAAAAACTCCCAAACCGAGAAAGCCGAGCAGCTGTAGCTCGGTGAAGTGTAATCCAGGCTTCTTTCTCCCCAATCAACCTGTATACCAGCTGTGGCGAACAAAGAGAGCATTTTATACAGATAAGAGCCTCTCTTTGCCTTCTTTCTCTCCCTCCCCATCTTCCTCAATCAATCACGAATACTCCAGTTCAATATGGCTATTTGTGGTCGACAAAGTGATTATCATTAATCTAAACCCATCTCTGTTTCACAAAGACAAACACACAGGCAGTTTGTTCTGGGTGTGTGAGTGAAATGGCTGTAACACAATTGTGTGTCTATGAAGAAGAGGAGTCATTGTTAAAGGTCTTTAACTTCCTTCCGCTTGCTGCTGTTCTGCTGATGCTGTGCTGATAAATCTCACTGGTGTGTTTTGTTGCTTTGGTGTTAAATTCACACACACTTGTTTGCTGGTGTTGCCTTGAACAAACTGCGAAAGTTTGCGATAAAATGCTGAATTTGGATATTATTTATCCAACGCGAAGTAAAGACGGCCGTCTCTGTTGGTGGTTATAAATCAGTGGTGACAATGTGTCGGAAAGGGGTGAGGTCTCACTCTCCCCTCGTGCTGCCTCCCTGTTCTTGTGTTACAGCCACACCTGGCGCCGCATGCATAACCACAATGCTAAAGTGTAAAATCAAGTTCAACTTTGCTTCAAAATGCTATTTCAGTTCTGACTGACAGCACTGGTGTAAACACTCATCTGTTTAGTTTAAAAGCAGGAGGAAAAACTCATCATTTGCATCTCCTGTATGACCCCAGACTTAGCTGGCCATATGGCACCAGCGACCTTCTGCATATGCATTGTAAACGCCATTCTCGCTCTCCTTTCTACAAATCAGATCGGTTTTCACTAAACCATTGATCCTACCGCCTCCTGTTCCCTTCTGAATGTCTTTAAGTGTTAGATTACAGCCCAGGTTACCGCTCACAAAGTCAGAGTGACACCCAGATGAGCGGTGTTTAACTTTGGGGTTGTTACATTTTGGTTATATCGAGTCTTGAGCGAGTGGGTTTGGTTTGGACCTTTACTGCCTGAAAATGAACAACCCCAAACATAAAAGAAGTGCCATGCAGAGATGAAATGGAAACGCGCCATCTGTTACATTTCTAGACGTCAGGTCGGCTGTTTGGATAATTCCACTCATGCTGCCAAAGTTTCCTCAGATCTGGAAGCTCGTGTTATTTTAATCCCGCTGCTCCAAAGAATGGGTGGTGTCAGAAATACTTCTCAGTTTTCGAGTGGCCCCGTAAGCGTCCATTGAGGTTGAGGGCTGGTGACTGTGAAAGACGGCCCATGACAGAAAGTCCACCTCAGTCTTCCAGGACTTTTTGAACCTTTGAATGGGTGCGGGAACATTATCCTTCTGAAGTAGCAATCCTTCTCCAAAAGGACAATGTAAAAGGTGGAGGATAGCTCTGAAGAATGAGGAGCGCTTCTCCTTAGTTGGGTGGAGTCCATTCAGGAGGCCGAACACTCATAACCACCATCAGGTTTCAGTGTGGGCTGGACACCGATCTGCTTTGGACTGCTGAAGATCTAAAACTTTGTTTAAGTTCATTTGTGAAAACACAGCTGCTGAGCAGCTCTTGTTTGATTATCGTCTTCATGCTTGTGATAATTGTTTTCCGTTTCTCAGCGAACGCTTAAGAAGACAAGAAGAGACATGCAGTCCATTCGCCTGATCAAGGTACCTGCTGGCCGGTCAGATCCACTTTACAACGGCTCAATGTGCACTGAATAAAAGAAGTCCATGAAATGAGGTGTTGAAACAAGGTAGAATCTACTCACCCGACTCATTAAAAAGTGTGACCAGTGTTTAATTTAGCTGACCATCTGTGTGAGAGCATACTTAAACTACGACACAAAGTCAGAATTCTGAGGCTGGCCCAGCGACAGCCGTGAAAGAGGAACCAGAAACGTACGCAGATGGCCTCGTATTTCCATCTCCCGCTGTGCTCTGAACGCATCGGAAACATTATTTGAATGTCGGAGGCTAGGAGAGGTCAACTCACACTCTTTCATCATGCCGATGTCAATGCAGCGTTTGAGCCGGCAGGCCTGGCAGTGACGGCGGTTGTCTTTAGTGATGGTGCAGCTCCCGTTGAACGGGCAGGTGAAGGAGGCTTTACGTTTCATGCTGCGCCTGCAGGGGAAGGAAAAGCAGTCAAGCTACTTCTGGATTGAAATATCTAAGCCATCTACAACTTCATTTTCTTCACATTATGATTTTTTTTATTTTTATTTTAAAGTGACCATAAACAACAAATCCAATTTAGGAGCACCTGCAAACTGACACAGGGAAGAGAAAGCAAAAAAAGAAAACGGGCAGCAGAAACACTGGCAGGGTCACAGAATTGTGCAGCGACTGTAAAGAAGCTTAAAGAGGTGTGTTTATGGGTAGATGCGCGCGCGTGTGTGTGTGTGAGCGTAAACATGCTAGACGAGCTGCGTGGGTTTCACACAGATGCTCATTTATGTGTGCAGAGGAGCCACCGCTGCCACCCCGGAGCACAGAACCCAGGCAGACAACCACAGAAACAAGGCCCCCCAGCAAAGGTGTGGGAACGAAATAGCCCGGTGCAAACCCGAATAAAAGTTAAATAATAATGCTCTGTGCTGTGAGACTGCAGCAGCAGGATTATTAGCTTACTATCGAATTCATTCATTAAAGATGCACAAATTCAAATGAAAAGTTGGATAAACAACTCTTTGACAAACATGGAAGCGATGTTAGCAGATGGTGTAAAGCGGAGGAGGGAGAGCGCACCTGAAGAAGCCCTTGCATCCCTCGCAGGTCATGGCGTTGAAGTGGAAGCCGGTGGCTTTGTCGCCGCACACGCCGCAGATCCGCGGGGCGTTGCGGTCGAACTCGTCCGGCCCGACCACTGACGTCGTCACCGTCATGGGCTCCATCACTGGGGAGAAGGAGAGGCAAGGGTCAACCTTTGCTCGGAGAAGAGATATGAAAGAGTTGTAACATGCAGACAAACTGCTTCGAGGCTAAAAAGAACGTTTAAAAAATAAAGCGGCTCGTGTGCCAGAAACCTGTGTGGGAGTTGTTCAGAGCGAGCTCTGAGAGAAACTGTGCCATTTCGCTTCTTATACAAACAGGTGTTAGCTTATTAGCATATTAAGCAAAAGGCATTGACAGTCACACTCTGAATCTTGCAGCTATTGGCTGAATGAGTCAGAGAGAGGTACACACACTTAGACACACGTACGCGCACACAAATCTAATCTACAAACTGTGAAATGACAGCGTTTGCTGCGAAATGCTGTGAAATGGCCGATGTGTGTAATACTGCCAGTTCTTTCTCTTTTTTTTTCCACACATTCACCATCTGGCCATCTGCTGTGAAATAAACAGCAGAATAACACACGGACTGGAAACTGTGAGCCAACTAATCCATAGCCGTCTTTTTCCAGGAGCACCTATGTCTGAAGTTTGACTGAGGAGAGGAAGATCCTTAAAGAAGCAGAAAAGGATTAAATTATTATTTCAAAGGGGCAGATGGAAACATGGGAAATATGCAGATCTGGTTATTTTAGCTGCTCGAACTTGTTCAGTATTACGGGTTGCAAGTCAAAGCGTGGCTCCAAATTTAGTTAGTGAGTTTGAGTTAAATATCAAGGGGAAGGTAAATAAAGGGGAGCATGAGTTTCGAAATGGTTCCTTCGCTGACCTGAGCTTCTACAAAAGGCAGAAAACTGAACTAAAGCTTCCTTACTCTTCTTTACTTGCACCTTGTTGGCCTAACAACATCTTAGCCGAACAACGACGGGATGCCAAACACAGCCAACCTGGCTGATGCCCGCATGTAAAAACACAAAGAATCCACTATGAGGCTGCGGCTTTGGAAACCCGAGCCCGATGCCACCTGTGCCCTCGCATTCCCATCAGCCGGACCCCTCTGCGTTTGTGTCGGAGTGAGATCAGGAAAAAGCAGCGGGAATCCACAGAGGGGTGAGGGCCGGCGTGCCTCAAAGGCCCGGCGCTCTGTTCCTCCACGCCGCTGCCTGCCGTGTCCGCAAAGCTGTGTGGGAGATTCCCACGCCGCCATCTTTCATCTTACCCACTCAAACACACCAGAACGGCGTCGAGTTTTAAAATACCACCTCTTATTGGTCCGAGGTTTTTTTTTTACTTTTCAGAAATGAGACAAAAATCAAAGCGAGCATTTAAAAGAGAAGTTAACAAATCAGGAAACTGGGAAAGAGGACGGCGTACAACCACATCTAAAAATGTAGAAATCTTTTTCTTTTTTTTGCAGTCGTCCAAGCTAAAAATGAAAACATTCTCTTCCCGTTTTATGCCGTTTGGATCCATCGAATTCAGCGAAAAGAATTTGAAAGAGTTAAAGTGTGAGCTCATTTGATAGGGAGACAATGAAACGAGCTCAGCAGCCGTCAGGTGGCTGCAGAATATAGCCGGCGTGCTCGAAAAGGATTCAAATGATGTCAAACGAGGACAAAGAAGGAGGAACCGATGCCTGGAAGTAAGGTCAAGACAGAACAAAGAAGATGAAAAGAGGCGAGTGTGTGAGTATGTGAGGGCTGCAGAAAGTATACACCCCGGCCGACGCCCTGCTCACTCATTCACAAACCTAATCTATGGCGGAAACCCCCCCCCCCCGGAGCAGCCTGCTTTGGCCCTCTCATTTACAGTCTGCGTGTTGAACGCTGGGCCTGAGCCGGCAGGACGCCCTCAATTAGGCACCATTTGTCGAAAACAGCTTTGTTTACTGGTGTGGCAGCAGGTGAATAATGAAACGAAGGGGGGAGAGGGGGTGTGGGGGGCGGCGGGGCACGAGGGGACACAGGGTGTCAAACGTCTCAACGCATCCGTTACAAAAACACAACAACAAGCTGCGGTTTCATTAATGCTGCTGATTAACGCCGGGGAAAAAGCTAAAAGCCGGACATGATTCACAGGTAGTGAAAGGAGGGAGGACTTTCAGCCATTAAAGCCACCTCTCTGGGCTGGTTACAGAGTTAAATCATCCTTTAAAAGACGGCAAACGGTACATGTGACGTTTCTGTCCAAACACACTGAACCGTGTGCAGAGAGACACACGAGAGCTGAAATCTGTGTGAGGATACTGAGAAATACCAAAATATTCAAGAAATTACAGTGGTCTATTTTTATTACTGGAGGCATGAGTCATTTTCCATCTGGAAAATTAAGCTCATTTATTCAACGCAGTCACTGTTTTAAATTGAATTTATCTTTTTGTTCTGCTGAACAGCTCTATCCTGCACAAAGATGATCGATCAGTGAGATAATGGACTCTTTTTAAAGGAGCATTCGGTTGAAAACTGATTTACTGGAAAAGGAAGTTAATTAATTAAGAGTTTGGTGGTCGAACTTTCGAGTAAGGACATGACAAGATTCAATTTCAAATTAGAACAAAAACTTCCTCTTTGGACCAGATTTGTCTCTAATCAATCAATTCAGCTTTGAATCAGAATTTAAGTTCACTCCCCTGATATTGAAATAAAAAGCAGAATATTACGGATCATTTATTATGCTAAATCCCCAAAGTATCCAAATATTGAGAGTACATTTGAATATTTGAGGTTTGTGGCACTCATTTGCTTTAATTCTGTTCAACATCATAAAGCCCATTAGAATATGTAGAAGCCCAATCCCGGGGAGGAAAACTAGTTAGAGTCAGCCCTGAAAGACAGCTTTCGAGATCAACATTATTCTAGGAAGTTTGGCATCCGGCGCTGAAAATCGGCCACCAAGTCCGACGTCAATATGCATAAAAAAATATGGGCGAACCTGTTGAGGAGCAGCTGTCAAACAGCAGCAGCTGGAAGAGGAGCGGGCTATTCCGGGCCGTTTGCTCATAGCAACAACAGAACTCTCAGAAAGGGCTTTTCACTCTGCTCATCAACAGACAAACCCAAAGATACCAGATAGCGTTCATATCGAATGTGGCCAAAATCACGTCTTGCTGAGCAGGAAATGACCTCACAGTCATCGCCGCAGTCCTTCACAAGTCTACAAGGAGTGTGAAGATTGCCGTTTTGTCACTTTCAGGCTGTTTTTCCTCTTTTCTCTTTGTGCTCCAGCCCCGTCCATATCTCTCTGAGGTCAGACTACCATTGTATTTTCCTCCATGTGTCCCAACCATTCCCAAAAAAATAAATTCAGTTGCACAGTGCATGAAAAGTAGATTTCTTTGGGACCAAACCGCTGTCCCCATGGTAACAAAGAGATGCTGGGAAGTGATGCTGAGGCTCGAGTTTAGGGAACACACAGCCACACAATGAGGACTTTCCCAGGGGGACGTGTGGGAGCGTGCGTAGGGACTTTTCATAAGTGGAACACGTCGATGTATCGATTAACCCGTGCCAGCAGATATCCACATCTGACCGTTGTGTCAGTCAGGCAACAGGCACGAGGCTTCGTGTGCACTTTTTCCACAATCCGAGATGGAGAGCGGCCTAAAAAACAAAAACAAAATCTAAACTGTTTGACTGGTGCCGTCCAGGACGTGTTTAACACGTTGGAAGAGAACAGCGAGCACACGGAGCACCACATCAGCTCCGTGTTGTGAAGCTGGATGGCCAATTTACTGCCGCTGGTTAAGATATATTTAGATCCCAAATGAGACCCGTTTCTGTAACCTAGATCCCATTTGCATAATGAAACGCTTTGTCTGAGATGTGACACCATTCCAAAAGCAGTTTGGATCATGGACAGAAAGAACAACTCAATCCTAACACCGACCAGAGAACAAGAAGAAGGGGGGATATTATGGCACAGGGGTTAGGTTTTTTTTTTGGCCATTCACCCACTGACATGTTCCCTACATTTACAAGGACTTGTCACCTAAAGTTCAAACGTTTGTGCCATGAATGAACCTTCATAACAACAACATTAATGGGATGTGACCCGGGCCTCATTTGTCCCTTGGTTAGTTGGTGGAATGTTCCTAAACCAAAGACCAGAGTTCGTACCACTGAAGGAGTGCGCAGGAATCCTTCAGATAAGCACACAAAACGCCACCAGCTGCTCCATAGATTCCCCCGACCTCTGACCTTCCACTCGAGGTGGTAAGACAACAGGTTCATTTCTCATCAGACATCAATGGCGGATTGAAAGAAGATCCCTGTTGTTCAAATCTGCGACACATTCAGAAGCGTGCACCAACACGGCTGGACAACTGCCCACATCAACATCCAAAGACTACAGTTTTACTGAGCTGCCATCACTCTCATGCACACGTCTAGGAGGCAAAAGGGATGCTGGGTAGTCCTGGAAAAGTAGGACCACTTTCTTCTGAGTAGACGCTACTGAGATGGGAGATACGTTGGGAGAATAGAAAGATTACATCATACAATCTGTGTGCAAGTTCTCCCCCAGGACTTTAATAATACCAATATGAGGAGCCATCCTCAATCTAATAAAACACCTGCAACCAACAACTGATGAGCTGCTGCAAACTTTGTCCACCATCTCAAAGAGGAAAGAGGGTCAGTACAGTAATGGCGACTTGCATAAGATTAGCTTTATTGGACAATTTTAAAAAATGTCAAATTCAGATATGAAATACTGCAGTGACTATTCACCAGTACTCAGCGCGTCCAGTCCATGACTTTTATTCCTCTAAGAGCTCCAGGTTAGACAGGCCAATGTAGCAATATTTTTTATTTTTTATTTAAAAAAAAAATAATAATAAAAGTTGTCATTGCTTGATTTACAAAACATTCAATTGCAGCAACAAAAACACAAAGGAGGATAAGATGTGGAATCAGCAGTAAGAGAAAAGAACATATTTTTGTCTGCGGCCCCTTATCTGAAGAGATAACCTCCACATGTGGCGCTTGCTGACTCGGACTCCAACTTGTGTGGACTGTGCAGAAAGCATCAGTGACCTGAGTCAGGAGTCCACATCACACGGCATCGGTAAACACAAAGGGCGCCGACCTCACGGGTTCATACGTTTTGTGAAATGTTTTTGATCAAATCATTTTTTTCAGAACACAAACGTGTTCTTTGTCTGTTTTCTTGAAAAACCCTTTAGACCCGTCAAACTACATGTCCAGAGTCACTCATCAAACCAGGAAAGATCTCCAATACGATCAGGGCTGCTGTCCTGCGAGTTTTAAAAGTTTTACTGCTTAAATCCACCTGATTCTGATTCAATTTGTCTTTTTAAATCTCTGCACAAGCCTGCTAATGTCTTATTGATGCTAATCAGGTGTGTTAAAGAAGAGAAATTGATAAAAGGACAGCTGCACTCTGGGACTAACTTTGAACTCACATGATTGACTCAAAACCAAAGTGTAAGATAAAAATGCACGTATTTACTTCTAAATCTAAAACAAGGAGAAAAAGACGATCGAAAAAACTCTGCTCAACCAGAAAAAAAAAAAGACTAAATTGTTGTGCGTCGCACCCTGGGACACAAACACTAGGGCCCAACACAAACATTAACACTCTCAAAAGTTAGTGCCCCTCACTTCAACCGGTTTGGACAAATCCTTCAAAAACAAACACTCGCTCTCATGTCATCAAACCTGCCCACGTTAAGATGAAAATAAATGGACGGATGGAGCATCTGGAAGCGTGCATTTGGTTTCACATTTGTGCTTCCTTCCCGTTTCTGTGCGTTCCTTCTAAATGTTTCGGCTTCCTCCGCAGAGAACGTTTGACTGGTGATTCTGAATTAGCCATTTGAATGAATGTCTGTCTTTTTGTGTTAGTTTTGGTATGAACTGGCCCACTGCCTGGCCAGCTATGTCCCAACCCACTACTCTGCCCCCCCCCCCCCCACGGAAGAAAAACCAGAGCAGTGCTTAATCTTTCTTACATGCACCCTCTCACCAGCAGGAAAAGTGCTTGAGATGCTGCTAATTGTAGGTATGTTGTGCCAGTATGCACAACTCAGTGGGAGGCTGTTTTAAACAAACAGCATAATAACAGGGGCTGAAGGAAGCAAAGCTGGGATAAATACAGGAGGCCACTCGGCTCTCCCTTTTTTTTTTCTTCAGGTTGATGAACACAAATATTGCGATAGAAAAAAAAAAAAAAAGAAACATTTCTGCG